GTTGTCCCTAGTGAATCTCCACCCCCCCATCTCTCCCACTTCCTCATTCGTCACTTCTACAGGTGCTGCTAAGTGCCCTATGTCTTTGAGCTCTTTGCTCTCCTTCTTCTAAGGCTCACAGGGTTCTGGGAGATGGAGGGTCTGGAATGCTTTCTAAAGACAATGTGTCAGTTGGGTGTTGTTCTAGCCCTCCCATGATTTCCCAGCTTTCCCCCTCATCTGCCTCTGAGCTGTGACCTCCCTCAACCCCCCCCCCGCTGTAAATCTATACTGTCTTCCTCTTCCTCCTCCCTAGAAGGGTCAGGATGGGGAGGTGGTTTTCCACCATTCCTCCTCTGCCCAGTCCCTGACAGCCAGCATAGTCAATAGTCAAGGCTGATGGGAGTTGTAGTCCAGCAACACCTGGAGAGCCAAAGTTTCCCCACTCCTGTGCTTTATAGCAGTGGTAGTCAGGATGAGTCTGTGACCTTCCCAATGCTACTGGACTACAATTCCCATCCTCCTTGACCATTGGCAATGCTGGGTAGTGTGCAGATAACTTGCCACAGTGAAGCAATTTGTAAATATGATGTCAGTTCTTGCCCCAAAGAAATTAATGAAGGTCTTTAACTTCCAGTGTTTGAGGCTGGTCTGTGTGGATGTTTTTAGCGCCGTTGTGTAAACACACATATTGTATGATCCAATGTTTGCTCTTGCATCACTTTGTTTGGTACAGCGGGTGGCAGTGGGGAATCCAAGCTGCTAATCTAGCAATGATAAAAACAAAATGAAACAAAAAGCAAGGTTCGACTTTAATTCTACTGACTGTTCTTTATTCAGCAGTTCAACAGCATAGTTGACACGGCATACAAAAGGTATATATAGTGGTATAATCACCAACCTTTTCCCATTTCCTATAAATCATATTTCGCTATCCCCATTTCTGTTTACCGCTTCGCATAGGCCCACGTATAGCACACTCTCCTATGAGAAACACTTTGATGCATGTGGTGTAAAAAATGCTGATGGCGCAATATTTTGTGTATGCTGTGCAAATTTATGGGTGACAATTCCATCAGGGATTGCAGGCATGGAATGTGATAAAAATTCTTATTCCCTCTACCTACTAAAGCGGAAAAAAGTCCCAGAATGTGACAAATAGGAGAAGCGGCAATTGTTAATTATCATGACACACAGCCCATCTGTAATTAATCCTTTTTTCTTCTAACAGGATTCTGCAACTGTAGCATAAAAAAACAGGTCAGATGATGCTTTAATTAAGGCTGTGCTGTGTTGTTGCTTCAACAGCAACAAGAACTGTTTTTGTCTATAGGTGTGTGTGAATCACTACAAATATTTTCTTAACATCTTTACAGAGTGCTGGTTAAGCATCTTTGTTAACGTTGTGTCTGTACTGTAGGTAGTCTGATTGAAATTCAAAGTAGATTCCCCCTTCCCTCACCACACACAACTCCTTCCCTACACAGCCATCCTAAGATCCATGAAACCAATATCAGGGTTGTGCTTTCAACTGCTGAGCTTAAGTGAAAATGAAAATATTGCACAGCTAGATCTGTGCAATGAAGGAAGATTGTCTCCAGGATTACACTACAGTTTGGAAATAACATGAACACATTTTAATGACTTGTGAGATTTTATAACATGGGAAGAAATAAAGTGAAATGTTACCATCCATGGTACATTTAATGCTTTGGCACCCTATATATGAATGTAACACTTGCATAACCTCACAATTTCTGACACTGTTGGCAAGGCCAGGCAGTCTACTCCAAACTGGCATCCTGTACACAGTAACAGGTTATTTATTCCACATAGTTTTCCTTTGGGATATGATCCTGCCATGAGCAAGAGGAGCTGCAGGAAAGCAAAAACCACCTTTTCCTCAGAGAAGGGAGAGGACATAGCATAAATGCTAGAGATGGGGGAGAAACTTACGTAATTTGCACTTTCTAAAACAATATAAAAACTGAAACACATCCTTACTTTGAAATTCACACACATCTGAATTTTGCAATGCAATTTTGTAACATGTACAAAAATGTATCTACAAGGGCAAAGTGTTCATATGAATGCATATTTTTGTGATACAGCATGCAAAATGCATCCTTTATGGAGAAACTGCCTTGCAAAAATGTGTCTATTTGGGGGAGGAAATCCGCTAGAATGCTGATGCATTCTCACGTGAACCTTTTCCCCCCCCAAAGATTGCAAGCTGATGTGGGAAAATGGACACCTAATCTTAAGGCTGGAACAATGAGAAACTGAATTTGACCTATTTGCACTGGGGACACCCTAGCACAACATTCCCAACTCTCACCTCCTATTTGGAAGGAGACTGAATCGAGGTACACCTCTTCCCATACAGGAGTGATCACTGGTATCAGGGCTGATCTTTTGCAGTATTGTGGGGAAATTTGTTTCAGTCCATGCGCTACTTACCTAAAGATAAAGATTCATACAACCATTTCCCCCTCAGAGTGTATGTGTGTGTTTGTATGCTAGATATTCAGACATACTGGTCTTGTGAGTTGATCTATGTGCATTCCTGTTATCAAAATCCATGGTACTTGCTTTCAAGAAAACAAGCACAGAATTGGGCTCCACCTTCTTTCCTCTGCTACTAGGGAGTAAATAGCTATGGTGGTCCAATCCTGCTGTATTCCATAGTCTCATTTTCCCTTGGACATTTGGGGAGCAGCTGTAGAAGATTTTTCCAAAACACATCAACCATACAGGATAGAATTCCAGAATGTTGAATGTGCTACGGGAGGGTCCTTTCCAATTAGCCCGCCACAAGACATCTAATTTGATTTCTTCTGGTTGGCCCAGGTTATTTAACCAGTTTTGATGTTACTTTATCTGAATCAAGGTATGTAGCACTGTAAAGCTTTCTTACAACATGCTACATCATGAATGGAGGGTATTGTAGGATGCTTCAGTTTCCTTCTATTATCCTCTGTCATGGAAAATGGGACATGAGTTTCAAGCGCAGGAAACAGCGAAGAAGATTAAGGCAAATTGTCTCTGAACAGCATCTCCAGACCGTTATGGATGCTTGCATAGAGCAGTGGTTAAGCATCTCAACAAGACTGGCTGGTTCATCTATCAGCTCCATATGGGTGCTAACTGAGGTGCCCCCTTCCTCCATCATGGATAGTAAGGATAGGCTTGGTACTCTCACTAGTTGCCACTGGAGAACAAGCTTACTGGCCAATGTGGTGTAGTGGTTAAGAGCGGTAGACTCGTAATCTGGGGAACCGGGTTCACGTCTCCGCTCCTCCACATGCAGCTGCTGGGTGACCTTGGGCCAGTCACACTTCTTTGAAGTCTCTCAGCCCCACAGAGTGTTTGTTGTGGGGGAGGAAGGGAAAGGAGAATGTTAGCCACTTTGAGACTCCTTCGGGTAGTGATAAAGCGGGATATCAAATCCAAACTCCTCCTCCTCTTCTTCTTCTTCTTCTTCAGAGTACACCCATGCTGATATCTATTAGAGAGAGAGAGAGAGAGAGAGAGAGAGAGAGAGAGAGAGGTATAATTAGTTTAAAATGTCATCCAGTTTAGTCAAAGACTTCTAAAATGTTTCCATATTCTTGTCTTAACTCTTCTATAGAGAACCTGTGGCTATTTTTCATTCAGAATGGGAGCAGAACATGGTGAGCTCCTCATCCTCCGTAGAGAAACAAAATAATATTGTTTTGTGTTTGCTAAGTTTCCTAAGAGCAGCAACAATCAGAGACTCTGTAACCACCACCATGTTGTGAATTGCAGTGTAGGATGACAAGCTGAGAAAATAGAAGCATCTTTCTCCATCAGTTTTGATAGCTGTAGGAAGCTTTGTTTGCCTTAGAAAACACTCGCTGTTGCCAGATAAATATGCATAAGAGAGCACCCCAAAGTTACTAAAATATGCCATTCCTCCATCTTTGCCTTTTTGTAGCAACAAAACTATCCCAAACTACATTGTGGGGTGACTAAAAAGAATTGGTCTCTCCAGTACACATTCCTTGTGTCTTTGAAAGGGGCTCACACTAATGGTCTAATCACTGATGGAGGACCGCTGTAGCCACCCCCAACGACACGTACTCAAGATGGAGGGGGAGGGAACAGCTGCAGTCGCCTGCGGTTCCTGCGCAATGTTTGCCATCTTGCCAAAGGTTGCAGGCAGCTTTACCTGCAGCAATTGCATGTTGATTGCCCTCTTAAAAGACAAAGTCCAGCAACTGGAGGAACGTGTAGCTACGCTCCAAAGAATTAGAGAGCTGGAGCTCTTCTTGGAAGCAACAGAGCACACCGTCTCCACCAAGGAGGAGACAGGGGACTCCCTGAGAAGGAGGCTAGTTCACCAACACAGGAGCCAGATATATGGAGAAACGTGACTCAAAGAAGTAGGAGGCCCAGGGTTCGCTCTGATTGTTTAGAAATACACAATCGCTTTGAGGTCCTCTCCCCTAGCATGGAAGACAAAGAGCAGACTCCATTTGAGGATCTCTCCTCATTACAGTCGATCAGGTATATGAAGACGAACAGCAAAGTCAGTCCTCAGGGAATGTGCAGGCGACCTTGGAACGGACAGCTCACGGAAGAACCCCGACCAAACCTAAGAGGAGGCGTGTAGTGGTGATAGGGGATTCCCTACTGAGGGGAACAGAAGCAGTGATCTGTGGGCCTGACAAGATGTCTCGGGAAGTGTGCTGTCTCCCCGGGGCTAAGATCCAAGATGTAACTGAACGACTGCAAGGAATCATAAAACCCACTGACAAATACCCCTTCCTCTTGGTTCATGTGGGAACCAATGACACTGCAAGCAATAGCCTCCAGAAGATCAAAAGAGACTACAAGGCTCTGGGCAGGAAATTGAAGCAATTAAATGCACAAATTGTCATCTCATCTGTCCTCCCAGTTGAACGACGTGGCCCAGGGAGAGAGGGAAAAATAGTGGAAGTGAACAGCTGGCTTCGCAAATGGTGTAAACAGGAACGGTTTGGATTCTTAGATCATGGACTGCAGTTTCCTGAAGATGGACTTCTGGCAAGCGATGGGCTGTACCTCACAACGGTTGGGAGAAATGTTTTTGCCAAAAATCTCAGAAACCTCATCAGGAGGGCTTTTAACTGACTAATGTGGGGGAGGGAGACAGTGCTCCTGAAGGTAGGAGTCTATCAATTGATGAAGATGATCATCCAAATGTCATAGACCAAATGGAGCATACAGCACGCAGACCTAGTGGTGGGAGGAAAAAATCCTTAAATAAGAGACACGGGGGAATGATTAATGGACCTCAATGTCTGTACACTAATGCGCAAAGCATGGGAAATAAACAAGATGAGCTTGAGCTCTTGGTACAGCAAACTAAATATGACATAATAGGCATCACTGAAACCTGGTGGGATAAGTCCCACGATTGGAATGTAATAATGGGGGGATACAATCTATTTCAGAGAAACAGACCAGACAAGAAAGGAGGAGGAGTGGCGTTATACGTCAGGGATGTGTATACCTGTGAAGGGATCCAAGATTTAGAACCTCAAAGCCAAAGTGAGAGCATTTGGGTCAAAATTAAGGGAGAGAAGAATAACAGTGACCTTATTGTGGGAGTTTACTATAGATCCCCAAGCCAAACGGAGGACATAGATGATGCCTTCCTGGAACAGATGGCCAAGCATGCAAAAGGAAGGGAGATAGTAGTAATGGGGACTTCAATTACCCGGATATTTGTTGGATGTCAAACTCAGCCAAGAGCATAAGGTCAAACAGATTCCTCACTGGCCTTGCAGACAACTTCATTGTCCAGAAAGTGGGAGAAGCAACAAGAGGAACAGCCATTTTAGATCTGGTCCTAACCAATGCTGATGACCTGGTTAGTGGGGTAGAAGTGGAAGGATCATTAGGCGCGAGTGATCATGCTCTTCTGAAGTTTACTATACAGCGGAAAGGAGCAGCCAAGCATACTAGGACTCAATTTCTTGACTTTAAGAAATCCGACTTCATAAAACTTAGGGAAGTGCTGGGTGAGATCCCATGGACAGTAATACTAAAAGGAAAGGGAGTTCATGATGGCTGGGAGTTTGTTAAGAGGGAGATACTAAAAGCACAACATCAGGCAATACCAATGAGACGGAAACATGGAAGGTGCCTAAAGAAGCCAGGGTGGCTATCTAAAGAACTTTTAACTGAGTTAAGATTAAAAAAGGATGTGTACAAAAAATGGAAAAGGGGGGGAAACCACCAAAGAGGAATTCAAACAAATAGCCAGCACGTGTAGACACAAAGTCAGAAAGGCTAAAGCACAGAATGAACTCAGGCTTGCTAGAGAGGTTAAAAGCAACAAAATGGGTATGTTTGTAGCAAAAGGAAGAACAAAGAAACAGTGGGGTCACTCAGAGGAGAAGATGGTGAAATGCAAACAGGGGACACAGAAAGGGCTGAACTCCTCAATGCCTTCTTTGCCTCAGTCTTCTCCGATAAAGAAAACAATGCCCGACCTGAAGAATTTGAAGCAAATGATTCAGCAAAGGAAACACAGCCCAGAATAACTAAGGAGATAGTACAAGAATACTTGGCTAGTTTAGATGTATTCAAGTCTCCACGGCCAGATGAACTGCATCCAAGAGTATTAAAAGAACTGGCAGATGTGATCTCAGAACCACTGGCAGTCATCTTTGAGAATTCCTGGAGAACAGGCGAAGTCCCGGCAGACTGGAGGAGGGCAAATGTTGTCCCTATTTTCAAAAAGGGGAAAAGAGAGGACCCAAATAATTACTTTCCAGTCAGTCTGACATCAATACCAGGGAAGATTCTGGAGCAGATCATTAAGCAGTCTGTGAGCACCTAGAAAGGAATGCTGTGATCACCAATAGTCAGCATGGATTTCTGAAAAATAAGTAAGGGTTCTGTCTTGGGCCCGGTCTTATTCAACATCTTTATCAACGACTTGGATGATGGACTCAAGGGCATCCTGATCAAATTTGCAGATGACACCAAATTGGAAGGGGTGGCTAACACCCCAGAGGACAGGATCACACTTCAAAACGACCTTGACAGATTAGAGAACTGGGCCAAAACAAACAAGATGAATTTTAACAGGGAGAAATGTAAAGTATTGCACTTGGGCAAAAAAAAATGAGAGGCACAAATACAAGATGGATGAAACCTGGCTTGAGAGCAGTACATGTGAAAAGGATCTAGGAGTCTTGGTTGACCACAAACTGGACATGAGCCAACAGTGTGACACGGCAGCTAAAAAAGCCAATGCAATTCTGGGCCTCATCAATAGGAGTATAGCATCTAGATCAAGGGAAGTAATAGTGCCACTGTATTCTGCTCTGGTCAGACCTCACCTGGAGTACTGTGTCCAGTTCTGGGCACCACAGTTCAAGAAGGACACTGACAAACTGGAACGTGTCCAGAGGAGGGCAACCAAAATGGTCAAAGGCCTGGAAACGATGCCTTATGAGGAATGGCTAAGGGAGCTGGGCATGTTTAGCCTGGAGAAGAGGAGGTTAAGGGGTGATATGATAGCCATGTTCAAATATATAAAAGGATGTCACATAGAGGAGGGAGAAAGGTTGTTTTCTGCTGCTCCAGAGAAGCGGACACGGAGCAATGGATCCAAACTACAAGAAAGAAGATTCCACCTAAACATTAGGAAGAACTTCCTGACAGTAAGAGCTGTTCGACAGTGGAATTTGCTGCCAAGGAGTGTGGTGGAGTCTCTTTCTTTGGAGGTCTTTAAGCAGAGGCTTGATAGCCATATGTCAGGAGTGCTCTGATGGTGTTTCCTGCTTGGCAGGGGGTTGGACTCGATGGCCCTTGTGGTCTCTTCCAACTCTATGATTCTATGATTCTATGACTTGACCCTATGCAAAAGTTATAGGAGGAGTTCAACATTGTGCTCTTCCAATTCTTCCATCAACACAAACATTTCAGCTTGCCAGACCAAACAACCGCCCTCTCCTCCCTCCATGTACTATTCCACAGGTTCTACTGACAACCCTCCTGAGCCAATTTTGGGGGGTATGGAGGAGATTAGAGAAAGCCCCATTGTGCAGGACTTGTGCAGGGCGTTCACTGATGGGAATCATTAATCAAAGCCTACCCCAGGAATGCAAAGTCATTTATTTAAATAGCCTTCAGCACACCTGACTCTGATAGGATGAAGCCTTCTTTCTGGTGGTGGGACACCCAGAGAAGGACCTGAGGTGAACATCTGAGTTGATGAGCAAGTTTGTATGAGAACAGAAAGACCATTTGCTGTGTTTTTTAAAATTCAAAACCAGTACTTCGAATTGTATGCAAGGAGCATGCCTTCTTTCAAGGAGGAATTCACAATTTATTGGACTTAACCAGCAGCTCCCCCTCACTGATATATTATCAGCCACAAAGGATAGAGGTGAAGCTGAGTAGCTCTGAAACTACCCTGTCCACATCTACAGACTGAAACAACTGAAACTTGTGGTTTTTTTTTAAAAAAGAAAGAAAGAGAAACCTACTGCTTTCAGCATGGGGTCTATGCTGATGTGGATGTAAGCATCTTTAGCTATAGTGCACTTAGCAAATGTGTCAAAATGGGTTGTCAAGGGTTCAAAGAGTCATGCTGGAGCCCGATATGGAGAAGACTCAGAAGCTTAGAAAATACACGTGCCACCTAGGTCCACCAGTCAGAGATTCTATGATAAGCAAGGGTATGTTTAACATACTGTACCAGCATCACTACTGGAAGGTCCTATGCAATGTCCTCAGGAAATAATTTTGGTTGGCATTTAACCCTATGTATAGTGCAACCTATAAATAGCTAAACAATTATTGGGGGGCGCTCTTCCTCCCACATCCTCCAGAAATGAACGAGAACTGCACAAACACAGATTGTGCTCTTACACTGTGATCTATGGGATGATATATTTAAGAAGCCCAGCTCTTCCTGCCTCTTTTGACACATTATCCTGTTTCAGGATGATTCTGCAGACAGAAAAGAACCATGGATAGCTTTAAGCAACGCTAAGTGAATTTAAGTTGATCACAGACTCCAAGGAGCGCCATCCTGGGATGCTGCTTCAGCCCTGGTTTCAGCTTTATTTATCCTAGTTGCACCCTCTCTGAGGGAACGGTTTCCTGGTGTTTAGAGTGGCCACACCCTATTCCTAAAACATTAGGGCTGATGACTGTTAGCTCTCTTGAGATTTTGGAGATGAGCTCCCCAGACGATGGAAATAGTAACAAGGCTGGTGGAGGGGTTACTTCTTACACAGAGGTTTTTTGGACATAGTGGTGCCTTCTGAAGGTAATTCCTACCCTAATTTCCCCCATTAACCTCAGATCCTTTGCCTGATTGCCATGAGTTTGATAGGTTAAAAACAAAAGGTAAAGGACCCTTGGACGGTTGAGTCCAGACAAAGCCGAATATGGGGTGCGGCGCTCATTTCAGTTTTCAGGCTGAGCCAGCGTGATGTAGTGGTTAAGAGTGGTGGACTCGTAATCTGGTGAACCGGGTTCACTTCCCTGCTCCTCCACATGCAGCTGCTAGGTGACCTTGGGCTAGTCACACTTTTCTGAAGTCTCTAAGCCTCACGCACCTCACAGAGTGTTTGTTGTGGGGGAGGAAGGGAAAGGAGATTGTTAGCTGATTTGAGACTCCTTAAGGGGAGTGAAAGGCGGGATATCAAGTCCAAACTCTTCTTCTTCTTCTTCCGGGTCATGTGGCCAGCATGACTAAACTGCTTCTGGTACAATGGGACACCATGACGGAGGCCAGAGTGCATGGAAGCACCGTTTACCTTCCTGCTGCAGCAGTACCTGTTTATCTACTTGCACTGGTATGTCTTTGAACTGCTAGGTTGGCAGAAGCTGGGACAGAGCAACGGGAGCGCACCTCATCATGCGGATTAGAACCGCCAACCTTCTGATAGGCAAGCCCAAGAGGCTCAGTGGTTTAGACCACAGCTCCACCTGCATCCCTCATGGGTTTTATACCTGGGTCATAACAACTGTGTTCTAGGATGCACTGTGATTAGAATTATCCTTTGGTTTGTTATATAAGATATTAGTGGATCTGCCTAATTCTTACCTCTGAGGATAGTTAGAAGGGGTACGTAGGTAGATCAGGATCTTCTGGTGGACCTCTGATTCGCAAGAAGATGGCAAGTGTTCCTGACTCCTAGTTGCCTAGCAATAATAACCATGTGAGAAACTAGCAGTGGGGTTGTGTGTGTGGTCACATAACTTTGGTTCTGCTACTGCAAATTCCTGGGCTGATCATTTTCTCAGAAGCCCCTTGTTCCTTAAGTCTGAGTGGAAGTTCACCAAACTGAATCACTATTTTTCATCAGGCTCCAGTTAGCGGACCTTGGGGTTCTAGTAAACAAGCAAGGTTGATCCCACAAACCTGGGAGTCAGCCCACCTCTGAGAGCTGAACTACGTGCATATGGTTGACTCTTGCACCCTAATATCAACAAGAATATCATTTCAATGGGGACTGCACAGGACAGCTTCCTCATGAATTGTGCCCTATTTAACCCGCCCCATGGATCTGTCACCATATTTTCTTCAGTCCAC